GGCGTGGGCTCAACCCATCACGAATGCAACCCCCCCGTCTCTTTACCTCCATCTCCCATTTTTTCGCCTATCTGCAGTGCAAAACACCTCAATTCTCGCTGCACTCTCATTGTCTCTGAAACTGGCGCCTTGTACGAAACCGAAAGCTCAGACAACTTCAAGTGCCGTCCCAGTGATCGCGCCTTCATTTATTTGTGCAAAAACGGTAGTGCTCTCTGGCAGCTTCTAACCCACCGAGCTGTTGGTGCAGGAAAAGAAGGTTGGTCCTGCATCTGTGGCGTACCTGATCGCTTCTAGCTGCTCGGGAATGTACCGATGCAATCTGTCAAAATGTCAGCCGTCAGTAGGACTCTGGTGGATCAAAAACTTTGGATTTCCTTTCTCTCTCTCTAATTTGATGTCTCCTTGTCAGACTGGCGCAAGAAGACCAACTACTAATCGAGGCAACGATACAGCAACCAAAGAACGGCACGTTGCGGTTTTTTAAAGTATACGATGCACATAGGCATTGCTAGTCCAAGTACGTCAACCAGATAATTTGATCATTTACACCGAGAGCTCTAGGCTTCATTTTGAAAACATAATTCCAAAATTTTCAACAAAAATGTCCTGCACTCACAGGGAATAAATTTAGGCGCACGAACTCACAACAACCAGGAAATCAAAAGAAATCCATAGTCGTCAATGACTGCAATTGTCGACATAGTTGATAAATGTCCTTGGAAAATTCGTCAAACATAGGCCCATATTTAACTGCTTTCAAAACGGCGCTAGGGTCGTGCACTGATGACCTTTCTGTAGTTCAAATAAACAAAGGAAGATAAAAATCAGTAGGGTGAACTAGGCCAACCGACATCTACATAAGAAAATGTATATGTGAATGGAGGGCGGAAAAATGGCGACTCAGTTTGAAAAGCCCGCAAAATTGATTTTAAATTAACTAATTCATCTGAAAAACTGTCCATTAATCAGTAGAGTAAAAATGGCAGACGGTATGCTACGCTTAACCCTAACCTGAAATCTAACAATTTTCTTAATCCTGGTTCTTAATCTACCCCTAGTCTTAAACGTACCCCTGACCCTAAAACTGACCCAAAATCTAAACCCGAACCTGGCCTAACACTAACCTTGATCGCAAAATATAGGCGCAAATACAAAATCCAAATTCCTTCTCTAAATTCCAATTCTAAATAGCAGTTCGTACAGCAAAATCCGAATGCTGAACTTCGATCACCCACAATGACCCCAAAAGCTTTACTACAGACAAACCCCAGGATGCAAAGTGAATAAGTACATACATGATAGTAGTATAATCTGAGCGTGCAACATGAATTTTTATTAACAAAACTTTCAACAGAACCTTGGCAAATCCTCGAAGCAAGTATGTTAGCACGGGCTGAAATGACATCTTAGAGCTATTTGGATAATATGTCTTAAAAAAATTAAAAATTAGCATTATAAATTAAATTAAAAAGCCATGTGACTTTTTATACCCTTGGGGTAATAAGGGATGGGCGGAAGATACTAAAAGAGGTTAATCGCCTGTTTGATTCGCAAAAAGAAGGAATGCATTTGCGTCCATCCCTGTATGAATAACTATCCCATCTACAGCCACAGTTAATGCCGGGTATTGATGTACTAATTAACAAGACATGGACTGTGGATCAAGTGCGCAGTGTGTGACCCCATTTTCTGATCCCAGATGTCGGTCAGGACTATTCTTGGCTGGCTGAAGACAGAATGTGCAGTGGACTAAAAGTCCAACTACCCGTGAATCTGAATTCGAATCGGAGAGCGTCTAGATGGTCTGGTGTTGCCGATAAGCCAGAAATATCCATCCCAGTCTCCCTTACCCTTGCCACCAATGTTCTTCTAACTGTAGATATATGTACGCGTATCTGCTACTGTATATCCCCGATCTAGTACCGACAAGCCTGCGGACTCGTAGCTCAATGGTTAGGATGTTTGCCTCTGACTGGAGAGACGCGAGTTTGAAACTCGAGTGTGGCAGCAATTTCAGAGGCAACATTGGAGCCAGAAATGGCCATCCTAGTGTCCCATGTGTTTGTCGGTTATGTCCTTCCGCCTGTATCCTAGCCGCCTCGCGGTGGAGGCTCGAGTGAGAGCTCTAACGGCAACATGGACGGACGATTGGGTCCTCTGCCTATACCTGCCGATCTCCGAACTCCTACAAAGAGACCGCATGCTCGCAGGAAATCCCAAGTGTCCTACAGAATCTCCATGTGAAGATGAGAAATTTAGCAAGCTAATTTTACCATGTTATGCTTATTGCTTATTACTCAGCTATTGACACAGTTATAGCATAGAATAATATTAGTTGATTATTGAGCAGACTGCTCCCCTCTTACACAGAAGACCTCTCCTGAAACCTCAAGATGGAGTTTAG